GCCCCGCCCACGCCGCCCCACCCTGTCCCCTGCGCGGGGCGGCGGCAGTTGTCTGGGCGGTTGGCTCACCACGCGGTTTGTGGAATCTTCGAGGCTCGCTCGAGCTGAGGCTAGGCAGCTGGGGCGCGGTACGGGAGCCCGAGCGTGCCCGCTGCGGCGTCTAGTTTGGAGGACGGCGCGTCGTCTGCGGTGCGTAGCGTGCGGGCGGAGGCTGCAGGGCTGCAGCCTGAAGCTGGGCGCGCGGGCTCCGCGGTGCTGACCTGGGGACAAGGTGCGGTCTCCACGGAGGGAGGAGGCCGGCAGTGCATGAGACCCTGATTTCACCCTCAGAGTTCATTGCGAGTGAGCAGCAATCCGGGAGGCCAGGACAGGGGCGCGGCCGCAGCGGTGCGCATATGCTCGGGGCGAGTTCATCCGGTGGCACGAGAGGCGCGGGGAAGATGCTCCAGGTCCTGGTGCTGAAGGTGAGCGAGCGCAAAGCCCGGGGCCCGGCCGGTCACCGGCTTCCCTCTCAGGGTCCGCCCAGCGTGCGGACCCGCGGGAAGGGGTGCCGGATGAGACTCCGAACTCTTAGTTTCAGATAAACAACCAAAAATTTTAGTTCAGGTGTGTCCCATACAGTATTTGGGACATACTTAGAGTAAAAAGTTATTCGTTGTTTCTCTGAAATTCAGATTTAACTAAGTGTCCTGTATTTAGAACCTCAGGGGGAGGGACGGACTCTGACCCCTTCTCCCACGCACCCTGTCTGGGGTCGGCGCTAGGTGAGGGCCCTTTTGCGCGCCCGCTCCATCGGACACGGAGACTCTGACCTTTTGCCTCCCTGGACGCAGATCCTCTCCGGCGGGTCCCCAGCCCCGTTGGACAGCGTATTTTCCGCCCAAGCACATGCCAGTTCCGGCCTTACTCGTGGGGACCCGTGCCCTCTCGCGCCGCAGGACGCTGGCGGCCACCCCTTCCCTACGCAGGCGCCTCGGGGCTTGCGTCCTCTGAGCCGGAGGCCCGGCGGGGCTCGCCCGAAATGGGGCCTGCAGAGCTACCCGGACAGCTGCAGCTTCTCCTTTGAGTCTGCTGAGAGCTGCTCCGCAGTGATGCTGGAGATTGGGAAGGCGTAGTGTCTTCAACGATGTTCTTGGAGAAAGGAGTTTTCGCAAACCTGAGCAAAGGGGGTGGATTTTGGGTACTGGGAAAAGGAAATATAAATAACTTTTTTTAAAAAAAAAGGTTACATTTAAGTGGGTAGAGCAGAGACATGATAGCATTTAAAAAAGCATCAACTCTCCTCCTGTTTTGTGTAATTTACACCAGCAGAGATTCACAAGCGTTTGAAGCAGCTGATTTACACGGAGGATTTGCTCTCGGACCTTTAGGATTTTCAGATACAGGTGGCAAGCTTCTCTTTACTATCCTCCCTAAATACACTAGTCCGATTTCTCCTTAGAAACACAAAGCTCTTCCAAGGGATGCAGATGCTGCCATGTGCAAATCCACTGGGGCAGAACTTTGGAACGGGTTGCTGGACTCTGACTGCCTCTAGTTTGGAAACCCGTTTTTACTCGGCTAGACCCAAGAACCCTTTTCTCTACGCTCTGAGTTCTGATCTCCCTCCACTGCCGGTTCTTACCGTGCTCACACTCAGCAAATTTTCTATGCAATATAGGAGTATTTTTCAAGTGTGGTACTGGTACCAGCTGTAGTTTTCCAGATTAATTTAGCTTTTACAGGGGTAAATTTTGTCCTCCAAGAGTCTGCCAACAGATGAGTGGGTAAGCAAAATGTAGTATATACATGCAAGGCAGGAATATTCAGCTCTAAAAAGAAAGGAAATTCTGAAACCTGATAACAGCGTGGATGAATCCTGAGGACACCGTATCAAGTGAAGTAAACCAGAAGCAAAAGGACAAGTATTGTTTGATTCCACTTATATGAGGTTCCTAGACTAGTCAAATTTATAAAGGCAAAAAGTAGAACAGTGGTTGCCAGGGGCAGAGGGGAGGGGAGAATGGAGAGTTACTGTTTACTGAGTGTAGAGTTTCAGTTTTGCAAGATGAAAAAAGTTCTGGAAATGGATGGCGACCATGTAGCACAACAGGATGAATGTAGTTCTGCCACTGACTCTAGTTAAGATGGTAAATTTCATGTGTTTTTTTAATCACGATCAAAAATAAATTAAGAAATTTTGACAGTTAAGTATTTGTAACATATTTTAGAAATAAAAATATCACGCCTAGCATTACAAACCTGTGGGGATGAGGCTAAAGAAGGTGTTGATTGAAAATGCGTGTTAAAGAAGCAGCCCAGGCCATACGCAGTTGGGTCTGGGAGTGAGGAAGGCAGAATGCAGTGAGACCCAGAGGGGCTGCAGAGGAGAAAAGGATTAGCTGCGTCATCCTTGATCAGAAAGGTGGTCAGCACCGGGACAGCCTCAAGACCATTAGTCTTCCAGTCAAGACTACAGGATATGTTCAAGTGTGTCCTGTTTTGCGACAGGACCGTCTGCAGTTCAGGACAGCTAGGCACGAACCCTTCCAGGGGACAGCTTGTGCCGGGAGGGGTGGCAGAAGAAGATAAAGAAGCCTTAGAAACACAGATGAAATCCTGAAAGCTGCAGGCTGTGACCTCACTCGTGTGAAAACAGCTATTCTGCTGGCTGACCTGTGTGACTTCAGTACTGTCAGTGAAATCACAGAATTTCAGGAGTGGTTTTCCTGCGAGAGCTGCTTACCAGGTAGCTGCTTTGCCCAGAGGACGCTGGGTTGTGATTGAAGCAGTAACTGTCCAGGGACTTCTCAGGCCAACATGGCCAAAAATGGGCCAAGTATTATTTAGGAAAGAAAGGGGACCAAATTTTATGTGGGTAGTATTTTTCAATTGGAATAATCTAGATATCCAGGGGAAAAAAAATCTATAAAGCTGATGCCCGCAGTGTGGGCCACACTGCCTTGTGGTGCTGTGGGTAAGCAGCAGGCTTCAAATGTGGTGTAAGAGGTTGGGGTGGGAGAAACTGTGAGCCCATCCCCACCCGGTAAAGTGCACGGAAGAAACTGCAACTTGAACCACTTGTTCTGAAGTGAAACTGAACCTGGCCTCCTTTTTTTAGGTTTTAGAAGCAGATTTTTTTTTAAATTGAAGTACAGAAAATTACAATGTGTCCATTTCTGATGTACACACAGTCTGAGTCATGCCTGTACATACGAAATACATACATATGTTTGTTTTCATATTCCTTTTCATTAAAGATTCTTGTAAGATATTAAATATATTCCCTGTGCTATACAGAAGAAACTCTTTTAAAATCTATTTTTATATATAATGGCTAACATTTGTAAATCTCAAACTCCCAAGTTTATCCCCTCCCCCCATGCCC